AACAGATGTTAGAAAGTCACAGAGAACAAATATGTTGGTTCCTGTGAAATAGCTTTTTCCATTTAACAACTCTCCTCATTTACCTTGGTTCAGGCTGGTTTGATCAGTAGATGAAGAATCTTTAGCAGCATCAGCATGACGAAGCTCTTCCTATTGGACCGGACTTCCTCTTGTGCCTAGAACAGTTTTGTTCCCAAATCATAAATCAGCAAAAAGCAACGCCATCCTCTTTAATTGCACAGAAGTACCGCTAGCATCAAAGGATTTCCTGTAAATAGTAAATAGCAGTGTATTAGAAAACACACAAAAAATCAGACACGGTACCTCAGTCGGATGTAGAGGGCTGAATGCCGGATGCTCCTGCTGATCTCCTCTGGCGTCAGCATCTCTACTTTCAGAGGCTGGAGTTTCTTCTTCAAATCAGTTGTGAAGAAGTCAAAGTGTTTCTGAGCAGCCAGCTGAGGGAAGGTGGACCTCAGCAGGTCCAGGAAGTCCAACCCTGAAGGCCACAGGAAACTGCAGCTCCAGCACCGGGTACTTCCATATACACTGAAGCATAACAGAGAAAAGTAACGTAACCGAGTAACGTCAAAAGGCCAAAACTGACCTGCTCATGAGATTTAATTAATGATGCAGCAGCAACTGTTTTTTTTTTTAAGGCTTATTGTGCTTTATGAACAACACACACACACACACACACACCCCAAATATCGCCAAAAATGTGAGGTGTACTTACTTTTGTGAGATACGGTGTGTAATATAGTATTTAATATTTTTTAAGCAACTCTCTCTGTATTCTCTCAAAGGTTTGACTGATCCAGTGATCTTTTTTCTAAAGTAAGTTTTGGGTTTTCAACTGGCCGAGCCATGAACTTTTTCTTTATCATAAGTAACTAAAGCTGTCATTAACTTTGACCTGTGAATTACAGCTCTGACCAGAATAAAACAAGCTGACAGAGCTTACCTTTGAGTGAACAGAGAGAGTAGAGTCCAAGATGGCGGAAGCTATCGTAGCCAACAGCTGTTGCAACTACAGCACAGTCACTACTAGTATTGTTTCATCCAAAGTCAGATTGGGCATCTGAATAGAGAATTTAAATTTACCTCTGGTTGAGAGCACATCGAGCTGCGAGTCCTCCAGGACGCAGATCCTAAGATCTACGTGTTCTGTGGTTCACTGACCTGAGGTCTGCCAGACCTACTGCTGTCAGACTGATCTCTGGGCGACAATAACATAAAGAAATAAGATTAGGAGTCAGTTAACGGCAGAAAAGGCATGTAGGTATAAATGATGTGTGTTTTTAACCTTGTGTTCAGGCTGGTTTGATCTGTGGACGGAGAATCTGTAGCAGCATCTTTTCTCTGTGGCACTTTCTCTCTGGTCTTCACTTGCGCAGGAGGCTGAAACAAGAATTTGGTTCTCAAGTCATGTTTCTACCGAAAACAAACCCGAATACTGAAACTTTAAAAAGGAAAAATCTGTGTTATTTAAATCTGGAAATGTTGGGTTTCAGAGAACTTCAGAATGTTTAGAACAGATCTTGTCCCTGAGATTGAAGTGTTGCATCAGAAAAAAAAACTTCTGCCTTCGTGAATGAGATATGTACCTTCAGGCGGATGTAGAGGGCTGAATGCCCAGTGGAACTGATAGTGCTGCAGATCTCCTCTGGTGTCAGTTCTTTACTTTCATGATGGAGTCTCTTCTTCAAATCAGTTGTGAAGAAGTCAAAATGTTTCTGACCAGCCAGCTGAGGGAAGGTGGACCTCAGCAGGTCCAGGAAGTCCGCCTCCTGTAGGCCACGAGGACACTGCAGCAGCAGCACCGGGTACTTCTTATATACTGAAAGACACAGACAGCATTCAGTATTCAAAACCAATTTACGATCACGATTAAAGAACAATTATTTAGTTTTCTAGGTGGGATATTTTTTCTATTCACAGACTGATTATCTACATGTTAACTGATAACATAATGTTGACATCCACATAACACAGACGTGTTCCCTTTATTCGGCGCTTCTACTGCTGAATTATGACCGCAACTACTAAAATTTCACATAATCATGTTGTTGCAAAATGAATGTAAATGATTTTCACGTGCACACTGTCTTGCTTCGTCTCCTATTTCTTAAAAGGACATCTATGTGACAGATGCTGTTATAAGAGCAGCAAAAGTCTTTCGAGGTGCAATGTGTGTTCGTAGCAAGTGAGTGGATGAGCGAATGAGCCTGTTGTTTCCCAACTGCTGGAAAGTGAAGGAGGTTAGCACTAGCTAATATCTCTGTGTGCTTCAGACTCACGTGACTAAATGCACGGTAGTGTGTTTTAAAGGGGAAAGTACATGAACACTATGATTAGGGACTGGGGGGTGGTAGCAGATTTCAGATTTCAGTTTTTAAGAAGCGACTTTGTGATCTGATTGTGGTCGACTCGGTTGAGTTTCATCAGCGGCCATGTTCGGCCTCTGAGTGTGTGATGATGACTAACTAATGCCTGATGCAAGCTCCACTTAATACTCATTACTGAGCCCTGATCCACAGTACTAATGTGGACGTGAGAATCATGTTCAGAACCAGGTTTCAGGTGCTGTTCGGTTGCTCCACATTATTAGGCGTAATTTTCGGAACATTAAATACAACATTTTCTTACTTATCAACTAATAATATAGCTGCCAACGATCTACCATGTATCCTTGGATATCCGCAATCAGGCCTCTGCAAGTACTTATCCAATACTAAAAACAAACATTATAGCAACAAGTAATTGTAAAATATCTGTGCCTGGCTCACACGTGTACAGTACAACTGCTTTTCTTTGCATGATGCACTCAGTATTTTTGACATGGTGATTTCTTTAATGGGCAACTCTCTGCGATGTGTGTCGCACTGAAGAGTTAGAGATACGCCTCAATACAGATCGCACTGATTCAATTTACCTCTGGCTGAGAGCGCTTCGAGCTGAGGGTCCTCCACAATGCAGATCCTGAGATCGATGTGGTTCTGTAGTTCACTGGACCGACGTATGCGTGACCTTCTCCTGTGAAGCTGAACTTTGAACGCAGCACCTTTTGTCTGTGGCTCTTTGACTCTGGCCTGGACTTCCTCAGACTGCTAAAAAAAAAAAAAAGGTTTGGTTCTCAAGTCAAATTTCTACCAAAAACATACATAATACTGATGCTTTAAAAAGGAAGTTCTCAGGAAAAAAACTGTTATTTTGACCTTTCCCAACTAAAACTTCAAATTTGGATTCCACACATATGGAATTATTTCCATTTGTGGAATCACCATGAAGACGTTCAGAGCCTCTGCTGCTGCTGTTTTTCCCTTTTACACCTCTGGAGGAATATTAATAATAGAATTTCCATTTTTAATGTCCATCAGATCAGCTGACCAATCAACAAGCAGAAGCTCAAATGCACTGAAAAGCTGAAGGCTAAATTGTTATACTGTCAGGAAAGTATAACAATAGGAAAGTACAAAAATAAGAAAGTTAACAATGGTGAAAGAGGGTGTTGTACAGAACAGATCTTGTCCCTGAGGTTAACGTTTTGCATCAGAAAAAGACTCGTGCCTTCATCATCAGATAGGTACCTTCAGGCGGATGTAGAGGGCTGAATACCCAGTGGAACTGATGGTCCTCCAGATCTCCTTTGGTGTCAGCGTCTCTACTTTCAGAGGCTCAAGTTTCTTCTTCCTATCAGTTGTGAAGAAGTCAAAATCTTTCTGATCAGCCAGCTTAGGGAAGGTGGATCTCAGTAGGTCCAGAAAATCCGCTTCATGCAGGCCACCAGGACACTGCACTCGCTGCACTGGATACTTCTTATACACTGAAACACAAAGACAGCCTAGCTTACCCTCCTGCTGAAGGCTAACTTAACGTGAAGGCCACCAACCGACAACACAAAACTCCACACTAAAAGTTATACTGGTTTAATTATTGACATAGTTTTACTGAATATTTTAAATTTACCGTTAATTGAGAGCACATTGATCTCTGAGTCCAGGATGCAGATCCTGAGATCTACGTGGTTCGGGGGTTCATTGATCAGAGGTTTGCTGGACCTTTTCCTGTCAGACTGAACTCTGGGCAACAACAAACTGAAAGATGGAGATTGGAAGCAGGTAATGAAGAATAATCCAGTAATTTAAGGTGTAGTCTGTAGTTTGGACATTGTTTGTGTGGTATTAGTTTAAGCAGACTGTGTTTGTCTATTGTTGTGACTTAGTTGAAAATCAGATCACATAATTTATGCAGAAATCAAGGTGATACCAAAGGTTTTTACAAACTTTTTCCTGCGACTGTATCTCTTCTGGTGTGTTGCCATGTTTTTGGATCATATAAGAAGTTGTAACCACTCTGAGTTTCGTATCTTATTTAAAGCAAAAGTTGTGTTGTGCAGTTGTGCGTTACCTGGTTTGATCAGGATGGATGGAGAATCCGCAGCAGCATCGTTTTTCTGTGATGGATGAAACTCTTCATCAGTGGACATTAGTTCCTCAGCTTGTTTCCCAAATGACGTGTTCTTCAGGAAAATGTCACAAACATAAACCAAACATAATTTATTAAATGTGGTTAAACACATAAAAAGCAAAACCAATAACAACACCATCTAAACAAAGTTCCTTAACCTCCACAAAACATAAATAACACACATCTCTAACAGAAACTTATAAACATCAGAATGAAAAAGCAAACATAACAAAGAAAAGAGGCATACATGTAAATGCTCCGTAGTTGTATTGCGCATTCATTCACTGAGCCTAAGTGCTCAAAGAAGCTAACATTCACACACATTCATACACTGGTGGAACAGCCGCCAGGGGCAATTCGGAGTTCAGTATCTTGCTCAAGAACACTTCGACATGCAGCCTGGAGGAGCAGGGATTGAACCGCCGACCTTCCGATTAACGGGCATGATGGTAGGGACCCTTCTCTTCTCAATTTACACCACCTCATGGGGGCCGATAATTTGCTCGCATAGCTTCTCTTACCACTGCTACGCAGACGACACACAATTCTACCTACCCTTCCAGCCAGACGTCCCTACCAAACCTCAAGCAATCTATCCACTATAACACCAAACTACAAATTGGCTCTCCGTCCATCACTCCCACCAGGGTAGTGAGAAACTTAGATGTCATGATTGATGACCAGATTTCCTTTTCAGACCATGTTGCTACCGTCTCTCGGTCATGCCGCTTTGCTCTATACAACATAAGAAAAATCAGCCCCTACCTTACTCAGTATGCCACACATCCCCTGGTACAGGCCATGGTTATCTCTTGCCTTGAGTATTGCAATGCCCTCCTAGTTTCAGCTTGTGCGGTGAAACCCTTACAAATGGTTCAGAACGCAGCAGCACGTCTGGTTTTTCATCAGCCCAAAAGGACTCATGTCTCTCCATTACTGTGTGACCTCCACTGGCTCCCCGTGGCCTCCCAAATCACATTCAAGTCACTAATGCCGCATAAAGAGTGACTACTGGGTCTGCACCCATCTACCTAAACTCCATAATACAAGTTTACGTTCCTTCTCGGCCGCTACGCTCCTCCAACGAACTCCGCCTGGCTCTGCCATCCCTTCACACAAAGCATATTCAGTCCCAGCTGTTCTCATCTGTGACACCACGATGGTGGAACGAGCTACCACACACCATCACAGCAGGGGCGTCCCTCTCTAAGTTAAAAAAGCTCTTGAAAACGCATCTCTTCCGAGAACATTTTCTCTTATAACACTTCTAACATGTACTTCCTGTCCTCTTCTTCTTCCTCTTTGTCCTTACAATTCTTATATTGATAGCTCCATCCGTTAACTCTTACATACTTCCTAGCATTTACCCAATTGATGTGGACCGCGCTAACTCTGAATAGTGTTTATTGCTGCTCTTACTAGAATCTATTGTCACGTTTTAGATATTTTACCGTATTGATGCTTTATTGATGCTTGTAAGTTGTTCCTCAAATGTAAGTCGCTTTGGATAAAAGCACCTGCCAAGTGAATAAATCTAAATATGTACCTTGGGTCGGATGTATACGGCTGAACTCCCAGTGGAACCGACGATCCTCCAGATCTCCTCTGGTGTCAGTGTCTTTACTTTCAAAGGCCGGAGTTTCTTCTTCAAATCAGCTGTGAAGAAGTCAAAATCTTTCTGAGCAGCCAGCTGAGGGAAGGTTGATCTCAGTAGGTCCAGAAAGTCTGCCTCCTGCAGGCCACCACGACACTGCAACTCCATCACTGGGTACTTCCTATACACTGAAACACAAAGACAGCATTCAGCAGGAGGTAAGCTGGTTGATGATTAAAGGCAAAGACCACTTGTTGACAACACACCAACTCCACACTAAATGTTATACTGGTTACGTTCTGGACATAATTTTATTGACTGACTGATTAAATCTACCTTTGGTTGAAAGCACATCGATCCGAGAGTCCAGGATGCAGATCCTGAGATCTACGTGGTTCTGTGGTTCACTGATCCAAGGAATGCTGGACCTACTCCTGTCAGACTGAACCCGGGGAAACAATAAACTGAAAGATGGAGGATGGAAGAAGGTTAATGCAGAAATAATCCAGTAATTTAAGTCGTGTGTCGCATTTTTTTTTGGCTTATAACAAAGCTAAGTAAATCCGTTACAGAAACATTTAAAGTTTTAAGTTAAGGTATTTTATTGTTATAA